CTAAAAACATATGGTCAAAATTCAAAAATGAATAGGAAGTACCAAAAAAGTGAAAGAAGCAATAGGGAAGCATGCCACCTTGTTTCTTTGTCTCTTTGTAATGGCATTTTATACTAACCTTCTTTTTCTCCACTTTTCAAGAAACTTTTATACAACAGACAAATAATTAAAATGGACCATATAACATCCTACTCCCTTTAATTTCCATTATACTTCCATCACTTTTTTTCCTACAACGATATATTGGTGAATTTTATCAAAAAATTATATCGTATATAAATTTAAAATTATCTTTAATATACACATAGTAAGTGTTAATTTTTTTTGGTATATTTTATATTTTCTTATCGAGAACCCTACCTTTGTCGTAACGATAACTCGTTCCTCTTAGCTACATGTATATAATTTGTTTCTTTTGGTTTAGGTATATGTTGTTGGTTGGGATTTGTCACTTGTCAAGGAAATGGTCCAAAGAGGCAAAGGATACTTCGTGGAGTCCTCTTTCGTTTTAGAAGTGTTATTCCAATTTGTGGGGGTCTTTATTCCCAACGTGCAACCACCAACAAATGCTTTAGGTATTTTTCAACAAGAAAATCCCATTAAAATATTACCCTCTTCTATATCTTTACCCTTTTCAAAGATAGGTTGAGTAACAAGTAGGTTGGGTGTTGGGTCCGAGCTTGAGTCGAGTTCGAGTTAACTCTTTAATATTTAGTTATACGTAGTGTTACGCTAGTAAAAAAATTTAGATTTATAATAAGTTAGTCGATCAAGAGAAATATAAGTATTAGTAGTTTAATTTGGTGATTACATAAATAGAGTCTGATTAGAGCTTAAATTAAATGATGTTTACTTTATACTGAACAAAATAATCAATAATAAATTGTAAAATATTGAATTTATTTAATTTCTGAATTCTTCAATTTAGAATATTAATTGATTTTGCACCATCCATAAAATAGTATTAAGTAATGATGTCTATAAAGAGTTTAATTACATTAAATCAAAGGAAAATGGTCAAAAATGCCCTTAAACTATGTGAAAAGAATAAAAATGTCACTAATGAATTTTTCTTAATCTCATTTTATCAATTGAAATAGAATAACTTCATGTACTCTTTCGACAAATATTATATGTCATATATAAGATTATAGTATATCCATCATTAATTTATATTTATATAACGATAAAAAATAATGATAATAAAATAAGAAATATTTTCATTTTTTTTTTGAATTGAAGTAAGATAAACATTTGCTAATTTTAAAAAAACATTATTAGAAAAAGAAATGTTTTAAAATAAAAGGGAAAAAGGACAAATTTACCCTTGAACTATCGTAAATGGTATGTAGATACCTCTGTCATACTTTTGGGACATTGGCGCCCCTGCCCTAAAAAAACTAGAGCATATATGTCCTTCACTGTAACGAAAGACTAAACAGGGACACGTGACACAATCTTATCCGTCGATCCAATATTTAATAGATGTTGGGTCGGTGGATAAGATTATGACACGTTTATGTCCTTTAGTTTAAAGGGTATATATGCTCTAATTTTTGGACGGCAGGGGCACAAATGTCCCAAAAGTATGACAGAGGGTATCTACATACCATTTATGATAGTTCGAGGGTATATTTGTCCTTTTTCTCAAAAGAAAATAATAATATATTTATTTGAAAAGTAACTTTACCTAATCAAGTTGACTCGAGCTAAATTTTGATCAAAATTGAATTGAGCTGAGTCGAACCCTGAGTCAGCTTTGCTCGTTGCACATGCCTATATACGTAATACTTCATATGTTTTATTCTGTGTCTTAGTTTAATCGGATATGAAGTATAAGAAAGTATAAAAAACTTTTAAATTTCACGATAATAAATTAAAGATATATATAAAATATACTCCCCCCGTCCCTATTTAGTTGTTCACTTTAGAAATGACACACAAATTAAGGCAACAATGATTAGCATAGTGAAGTTATAATTTTACCATTATAGTACAATTTACAATTCCAAAATAAATTCACTCAAGATAACTAATCAATGCTGGGAAGTTCATAAGTTTATTTACTTTATTTATGACAATTTTATTTAAATAAGGGTATAATAGGAAAAAATTTATTGTCCTTTCTTGATTTGTCAAAATGGACAACTAAATAGGAACAACTAAAAGTGGAAATATGGACAATTAAATCGGGACGGAGGGAGTAATTTTTAAATTTTGTGCTTCTAAACCTAACACTATTTTGGTGAGGATGGAGGGAATGGGATGGAGAGGCAATTAATACAAAGAAAAATAGAGCATAAACATGAGATGAAGAAATGAATTCCTTCCCCATATAAACGGCACATGCCACCATCTGTTCTCTCTTTCTCTTGACAACTCCCTTCTCCCTCTCTCTAATCTTGACTTGTTCTCTCTCTCTCTCTCTCTCTCCTTTTCCCTCTCTCTGCGGCAACTTTCTTCACAAAGCCAAAGTCCTCTTCAAGATTTTGTTTTGCCACAATCTCCGCAAAAACCCCATTTCCCCTTTACACATTTCACTCCTTCCATTTCCATAAAAAATGATTGCATTTTCAAGACTTACCCTTTTCTAACCAGATCTTGAATCTTCCTTTTTTCCATTAAAATGTCATAAAGTTTCAATCTTTTTAACACCCAAGTGTCAGTTTTTTCAAGAAAATGGAACACAAGCATATGCTCATACTTATTATAGTACCATGTTCAGTAACTGCTTTAATTGTTTTGTTGTTAGTGATCTATTTATGTACAAGGAAAAGAGGGGAAATTGTTTCTAGGGATGTTGAAGCTAATTTTGAGGTAAAAGAAAGAGATGGGGTTGAAAAAGATTTGTTGATCAAGTTTCAAGATGGTGAAGATCTTACTGTGTATGAAATCTTGGATGCCCCTGGTGAAGTTATTGGGAAATCAAGTTATGGAACTTTATACAGGGCTAGTTTGCTGAGTATTGATAGACTTACATTGTTGAGGTTCTTGAGACCAGCTTGTACTGTCACAATGAAAGAAGTTGTGCCTGTAATGGAGCTTTTGGGGTCTTTAAGGCATCCTAATTTGGTGCCTTTGTGTGCATTCTATGCAGGGCAAAGAGGAGAGAAACTGATGGTACATCCTTTTTATCGTCATGGTACTTTAGCTCAATTGATTAGAGGTATGTGCTCTTGCTGTTTTTTTTTAATATACAAGTATTAAAATTGTTCGTGTGGGACTATACTAGATATGTTATTGTCGTTGTAAGTATTAGAATTGTGTTACCATAATTTTAAAACACAATGACTTGAGTGCTAACAAATCTTTAAGCCTATGGTGTGGTGTTTATTCAAAAAAGTTTGTCTTGGAAATAGAATAAGAAAAAACAAGAGTGGTCATTTTAATGATTTGTAGCATCTGGCAGGAGATGTTGATTTTCACAATAATTTTCTGTTTTCTTCTATTGGTTAGTAATACAAAATTTTCATGACAAAAAATGGGATCTTGATTTTGCCATTTGGTGCCTTGAAAAAAGTCTCATTCAATCATTTTCTCACAACTGTAAGGGACTTCAATAATTAGTATCTATATGCAGTTTGAATTTTTAGGTCCTTTGATTGTTCCCTTTTCTTTTTCACTTTTTTTTTGGTGACATCTCAACAACACTGTTTCTGAATCTGGAAAGCACAGATGAACTTTACTTTCTTCCATTTTTTTCGAATATTTTTTGATATTATATTTCTCCATATTTTGTGTTGAAAAAGTTTGTTTTCTGGATTTAAATGGATTTTGTTTTCTTCTGCTTATTTAAAAACCTACACATGTGCAGTGCTATAGTTTAACATATCTTGCCTCAAATTTCAGTTAGTTTTCTTGTCAATTTAGAACCTAATAGTAGGTACTTTGTCAAAATTATAGTTTCATTAATAACTAATCCGTGTTAAGTTGAACCACTCTCAAGTCTAAAGTATACACATGTATTAGTTTTCAATATATGTCTCAAGTATACAAATGTATTTGTTTTAAGAACATTGTGTCTAATGATACAGACGGGAACGGTGAGGCTCATAAATGGCACATCATATGTAAGATCTCCATTGGCATTGCTCAAGGACTAGACTATCTTCACACAGACTTAGAAATTCCCATAATCCATGGAAATCTCAAATCGAATAATATACTTTTGGATCGACACTTCAGGCCATATGTGTCCGATTTTGGATTGCATCTTCTCTTGAATCCAACTGCAGGCCAAGAAATGCTTGAAGCTTCAGCAGCTCAGGGGTATAAAGCCCCTGAATTGATCAAGATGAGAGAAGTTAGCGAAGAAACTGATATTTACAGCCTTGGGGTTATCTTGTTAGAGTTATTAACAGGGAAAGAACCATTCTACAGGAAACCAAATTTTGATAAGGATATTTATTTGCCTAATGCCATTCAAAGTGCGATTCTTGATCATAGAGTTGCGGATTTTTATCATCCACAAATTCTAGTTAGCCAAACTGATGATGGCCAAAGGGCGATTAATGAAGATCATGTCTATGAATTCCTTCAGCTTGCTGTGGCTTGTTGTTCTCCCTCACCTGCTCTTAGGCCTACTATAAAGCAGGTCCTCAGCAAGCTTGAAGAAATTGGAAAGTAAAATGGACAATCTTTATGCTTCTGCTCGAAGCATGACGTGTTTCGTCTGACTGACTTGATCAAATCGATCGATATCAACATACTTTAGGTCATGATAAGCATGCTGATACAACACACTGACTTTTTGTGAGGAAACTGTTTTTTGAGGACATGTCTCAACTCCCTAAGTGCAATCACAGCAAGAGAATGTGGTGAAGCTTATATCAATTGGCAAGAACTATGAAGTTGGTGTTCAGTTTTTTGGCAAAGCAGAAGTTTTCACCTCAAGAATCAGAAGCAAGTTTCTGGATCCTGAAGATTAGCTTCCAATGTCATCCTCAAGATTCAAAAAAGTTCTATTTTGTGACTCACACAACTGACACTAGTCGAGTGAGACTCATTTTTGTCTCACAAAAAAATAAACCCAAAAGTGTAAGATTTGAGTCTACTTTTTCGTGAGACAAAAAGAAGCCTCACACAACTAGTATCAGTGTTGTCATAAAGAAACGGGTTGATGGATTAGGAAGTACACATCGCGATATGACCAAGATATATTTGTAAAAAGATTAGAGAGTGACATTTAATTAGTTTATCCTGTGATAGAAGATAACAAGCAGTGGACTTGCCTTAATTTCAGAGAAAATCTGGTGACAGTTGGAAGTTCCAAAGATATGATTACCAACAACCAGTTGTGAAGTGTTTTGTTGTTTTTGGTTAAAAGCTTAAACATTAGTTAGAAAAGACAGACTGTTTCAGCAACAAGACAAAGAAGAGCCATTTCCCATTATTGATCTGCCAGTTTTGTCATTGTGTGACAAAGTCTAACACCATAAGATTTATAAGCTTACTACATATAGATTTGATTACTGTATTCTCCTTTCTCTTACGTATGCATTATATCAAGATGCTCTCTCTGTTTCCCAATGCACGTGCTCATACTATCACACAAAAAAATATCTTCTCATATGCTTAAATTCTTTATTGATCGAGAGTGTATCGTAAGGGACAGGTAATATATGAGTTGAATTAATCAAAAAGAAAAGCGGAGACTTGCCATTTGCTAACATTGTGGTTGGCAGAGTGATAAAAAACAATCAAATTCAATAGAACAAGAAATTGAACTCATACATAAAATCCTTAATTATGAACTCAAAAGAGGTTCAATTGAAGAGATACAATGATTCTTCCTCGAAACTCCTTCAATATTCCTAATCAGGAAATGAAAGGTCGATTCCATCTCATGATTACTATCTTGTGAGTAATCATCACAATTCAAAGAGTTATCTAATAATACATATACAAGTCAACAACTTAGTTTGTGTGTGAAAATTGACTCGAATGCTATTGTTATAAACCAAATAAAAAAAAGACATCCCATGTAAAGGTTAGCTGGCTCTAGTTTGGTGTTTTGTGACGGGGAGAAACATTTTGATTAAACAGGTGTTAGTGTGTATTATAACCAACTCCATAAATATCTTCAAATTGCTTGTATGTCCCAATTATACATAAATGCTGTTTGGCTTTATCTTAAAATAAATTGATTATAATCCCCACTTTTTCCTTAAGCACTTTTCAGGCCAAGTGGAAATGCATGCTTAATGCCCAAACCAAAGAATAAAGGAAACTTTTCCACTTATAAATTTACTTAAATTTATTATTAAAAGAGAGGAGAATTATATAATACTTAATTACTTATTGAAGAAGGATTATTATTTTTAAAATGGCAAAAATGGAGATGTCCAATAAAGCACATTCAATGTAAACCCCACCATTCACCTGGCCATATTGCATAAGGCTCTTTTTCATGAACTTATCTCTTTATTTATTAATTAATATGTATATTTTCCCCATTACCTGAAAAGTTTAGATAGATTATGGATGCTAATCTACAAACCAAACAAGATAGTGGTGATCTGTTTTATTAAAAAAATAATTAAGGCCACTAATTAATTATGAAGTGAAGAAATATTATATATATTGTCCATTGTTATATATACAGAGGATTTTGTTGAATAAAGTGTAGATATAGAGAAAACGACATACAATGAAAATCAGAACAAAATCATGTTTTGTATGTCTAATAAATCTTCGTATTGCTCAACTTGACGTTTGAAAAAAAAATAGTTGTGCCTGACACAACTAACACTAATTTTTTCATACTCTTCTTATTATTTCTTCAAGCATGTTGTCGTTAGTGACAAATTTTACATTATGGAAAATTAACCGTAATCACAAATAAATTACGAAGAAAAAGTTAATTTATTGGTGAGTCTTTGTTAGTATAACTTTGCGTATTAACAGCGGCTTTCCTAAATGTCCTCTCTCTTGTTTAATTAACTTGAAAATGTCTTCTCTCTTGTTTGATTCTAATTGCCCCGTGTGAGTCATCTAGCCTATCGTAAAAGCAGTATATAATAAGATTGAAGTATTTAATTGGCCTTCAAAACATGTAATCTTCAACACTTGACGACCTCTGATTGGTCATTAATTTGATTGGGATCTGAACCCACACATAACATTATTTTACTGGCTTTGGATTTGATTGATATGTTAATGTTATTGAAATACATGACATAAGCTTGAACCTTTATATGAAGTAAACTTTCAACTTGAAACTAACAAAAACAGACTTTTAGAGCCTGTTTGGATTGACTTTTGGCTTATGACTTATAAGCCAAAAACCATAAGTTTGAATTTATAACTTATGACTTATTTTTGTCGAGGGAATCCCAATATCTCCTGTAGATATAGGAGGCCAAGTTGGTTCTTGTGGGATTAGAATTCCCAAATCTTTTTCCATAAAATGCCAAATCTTCATACAGATTGCAAAGATCACACTGTTTAATAATTTGACCATTGCAACTCAAGTGATGAAAACAGGAGTTCAAGATTGATACATAGTCTCATATGCAACTTTCTTCCACAACTCTTCTCTTACTGTCACTCATTTTTATCCTACTAACATGTTATAGGACTGTTTACTCAATCTCACACTTACAGAGAAACATCCAAATCTATCAGCTGGTTCATTGTGTTAAGGTATATAAATTTGGTATGCTATGTTCAACTAGACTATAAGTCTAAAAAAATATCTATCCAAACAATCTAAATGTTTTCCAGCCTATCTTGATTTCCAGTCCAAAATCGCAGAAAGCAGTGCGTAATTTGGTAGAAGGTTCTTATGAGCTAATGGTAGGCTTGTCATTGGTGATATATCCTTCTCTTTTAGCCATGTTTCTATTGCATTCCTGTCATAAGTAAAACCATCAGCTGCCACACAAGGGTCCTTCATTATATCCTGTGACAAAAGAACCAACCGCTCCTTAGAAATGAAAAAGAGAAATTTGGTAGTACATAACAATTGATTCTTTGGTACTATTATGTGCCACATGAAACATGAATCATTATCATGACGCAAGAGTTATGGAAAGGAAAGAGTGGCATACCTTGAGTAAAGGACACAAAAAGTAGTTAGGAGGAGGAGATTTGGTAGTCGAGGCAGAATCTCGAGTCTTATCAGCAAATTCTTTTAATTTCTCCAATGCAGGGAGAATTTCATCTTTCAAATCGGGCCTGTCTCTTCGATAAAGCTCTGTGCATTTAAGTGCTAGCATAGCTAGTTTCTTTGTCTCTTCTATTGGCCATTTACCTGCTTCTGGATCTAGTACCTTAGTTAGATTATCCTTATCGATTGCTGTTTCAACAATGTGAGGAAGTCCCATTGCTGCTTTTGCTGTTAGCAACTGCAAGAGAACCATCCCAAACGCATAAATGTCAGATGTTGGAGAGATCAATCCAGTCCTTTGGTATTCAGGGTCTATGTAGCAAAGTGTTCCCACAGGACCTGTATCTTTGTAAATGGTGGATAAGGCAGCGTCCAAATTTATCATGGTTGAGAGGCCAACATCACCAATTTTACTGACAAAATTACGATCAAGCAATATGTTTGCAGGCTTTAGATCACGATGAATAACTGGATTTGGCTTGGAGTTGTGAAGGAAGGCAAGGGCAGAAGCCACTTCCCATGCAATTCGATATCTATCAAACCATGGAATTGGAGGTGTATCATGTTTCCTGAAAAGTCTCTCCTCCAAGCTACCATTCTCCATGAACTCATACACTAAGCAACCACGATCGGGGCACACACCAAGAAGGATTAGCAAATGTGGATGACTAATTTTGCTCAATATTTCCAGCTGAAACAACAAAAGAGCAGATTCTAAGAATTCTAGAATAGAGGAGACTAATATTGGTAGGTAACCTTGGTACAATGGTCTTTATGACAAGACAAAATATCATATTTTCTTTTAGATATCAAGCAAACTCATTTTGATCATTCTTTCGTTCATTAACTTGTCATACCTCTTGCTGATACTGCTTCGTAAGATGAGATCCCTCAGAGTGAAGAACTTTGACAGCCACTGTAGTATGATGCAAGCTGCACTTATAAACAGTTCCATATCCCCCCATACCAATTTTAAGATTTTCATCGAAAGAAGAGGTGGAAGATACGATTTCTTCCCAGGTGAATTCTTGGTACTGATGTGCCTGGCCTGTCAAGGCATTCTCAAGCTTGTCTTTTTCTTTTGCCTCACGTAAGGCTAGTAGTTCTGCTTCTTTTCTTTGTGCTGCCTCTCTTTCAGCACACTCCTTCACATAATCAGCTTCCCTTTTCGCAGCTTCGTACTTCTCATTCTCTTTTCGTGCCAACTCTTTTACTTCCTCTTCCTTCAAACAAATTTCCCGAAGTTTAACATCTTCCTCCAACCGGCGCTTGTGCAGCTCATTTATCTGTTTGTGGCAGGTAGGTTTATGATCACAATACAATAGGAATCAGACATAAAAGGACAAAAATTGAAAGTCATTGTTGCCTTAGCATACCTTCCTAGAAGCGTCAATTACTTCAGTTTGTGCAACTGCATACATTCCTCGAGTATGTCTTAATTCAGTTCTTAGCTTCTCTAGCTCAAAATTGATGTCCGTCTGCATTAGAAGATTGAACGGTGTTAAAAGTCTAGGATGTCCGCTAGATTGTTTTTGACAGATACAGAAATTAAAAGACAGGAAGCATGTCTGATGTAAGTAAAATGAAATCATGTCATCATCAGTTGATCAGAACTTTAAGCTATGCCTATTTGATAAGTGATGAATATAACAACCTGAGTCAGAATATACCTCATATCTCGACGATGAATCTGTCAGAGCCCCTGAAATTGAAGCTTGATCATCTGCCGTAGTGTAGTTGTCTGTTACCAAGCTCCTAAAACTAGAAGTAAGGTCATCTCCATCAGTAAGATATGTTCCTTGGGGACAAGACCTGACATCATCCTCACCATCACCAAAATCAAGAGATAAGCTATTATGGTGGACTGATACATTTGAACATGCTCTTCTATGAGGAAAGTTCTGATTAATATGTGAAAGAGCTCGAAATCTTTGCATTGGCAGTGAAGGAGAACGGAAGTGACTGTATG